TTAAACTTTGACCACTTCCTTTGTGCAAATGCTACAAAAATTCTTTTTTCTTCTTCTTGAAGACTGAGGCCAAAGGAAATCAGTTTATGGATTTATCAAACAAATATCCACTTTGTTTAATTTCAGGAGGCACTTGGGAAATGATGTCTGGATTTTGCCATTACACAACAGAATGATTTCCTCATAACATATGACATCATTTTTTTTTGTTCTCTAATAAAATCATTCATGGAGAAAATCTATGTGGGAGCTAAGAGTTGACGACGACTTGACATACAATCAATCAAATGAAATCATATTGATGTTCATCTGGTATGAACTGATACAGGTAACTATCTATGGAGATTCTCAGTATTCAAATCACAGTGGTCCCAAAGGTTCTTTTCCAAAAGTCAGTTGGACTTAGTTTTTCCTTGAAAATGTTTTGCTTCTGTTGTAAGTCAGAACTGAAGAAGCTTCTTGAATGAGAAGCAAAACGTCTTCAAAGAAAAACAGAATCCAATTGCCTTTTGAAAAACACTTTTTTCAATGTAACTAGTTTTTGAATGTTTTTATTAATAACAATTCAATAGTCATTGGCCATATTACAAGTTCACTGGTCTTCCTCTTTACCTGTCTTTTAATAAGCAGTAAAGGCCTTTTAATCCCAGACAGATTTTATTCCGTGCTTTTAGGAATGCATCAATAATATTTTTAGCTTGGTTCTGTAGCGACTTGCTGTACTTTGCAGTCAGTTTCTGATATTTTGTGGATTATCACATCACTGATGTGACATACTGCTTTAAACAAAGTAATTTCTCCTTCCATCTTGAGTGTTTGCATTTGTTTTTTTTATCTCATGAAACTAGATAAAGCTCTTCAAACTCAATTAGGAATTCAGAGAATGTGCTGCTGTTCCTAGTCTTGCAAAAAGCAATGTTTTCAACTGGACCTGGTGCAGAAGCTTTAGATTTTAAAAAAAATCATAAATATTTGCACTGCTGATTAATTAGATGCATATTTTTTTGGTTTTAGAATTGTTTATTCAGAAAATATCAACAAAAAAAATAAGAGGGGTTGTTACAGGAAAATCTTGGGAAAGGCCATTCCTGGATGTATGCATCTATTCAGGAAATGGCTATGTTGAGTTTATCCACATATAAATATACACATGTAAGGCATAATATGTGCAAAAAAATGTTCCTGCAAATATAATATTTACTTACTCTCACTCTTGGCATTACTCATCACAACCTCTTGTTTCTTTCCTTTGCCTGGAGCTGCTGGATTTGTCAAACAGGAAACAAACGCTTCTCTTCTGTTACTTTCCCATAGCCACCCATCCAATGCCTAGCCACTTAGGAGAGAACTAAAGTAACTTGAACTGATTGTCTCAAGATCTTCTGGTATGTGTGTTCTCTGGGTAGCCCAGTTACTGAAGGTTGGCAAATGTTTACCTTTTTTTTGCAAGTAATCTTTAATAACCTTTGTCGCTCTTCAACCCACCAACAGTTTGGGACCCTGCCTTTAGATAAACCCAGTCCAAATATGAAAGGTCACCAGGCCCCATTCAAGACTACATATTTGAAATATTTAAACAAATGAATGGAATGCAGACAATGTCCAAAGTCATAAACCACAATTTACAAACCACTATGGATACATTCATATAACATACTAAGCCCAATTCAACAAATCTCACTGGCTGATTTCACCTATCATATTCAACTTCTGTACTTTGTAATTATAGTTTATAATTTAGTATATAATATGAACCAAGTCAATAGTGTTATTTTTTTTTTCAGTGAAGCCTGGGTAAGTAGCACCAGAATTGATAAGAACTGCACTTCGTCCACTTTGCCTGGTTTCAGAAACTAAGCAAAACAAAATTAGATTAGTCCTTGGAAGGGAAATCAGGTCAGCTGGGAAGTCCAGGATTACTGGCAAGTTGGAAAAATATCTCCCATGGTGGCAAGGGTTCCCCCTCTTCTCTAAGCCTGTCAAAGAAAGGTCTTTCTGAATAAAGTCTTTTGCCTTCTAAGCAACGCTTAGCATATTATGTGAACACAGCCATTATGATTCAACCCAGGGAGGAAGCACCCGACTTACATTTTACCTAATGTTTCTCACATTTGTATTTCATCAAGGTAACATCTAGATCACACTTTGGGCAAATTCAGATTTGCATTTGGAGGGTGATATCATCTCCCTCACAGAATTGCCACAATGTATAATCAGAGGGGAAAAGAGGAGGTGTGATTTGGTTAACATTACTAAGCAACAAATTATAGGCACTTCAAGAAATGGCTTCTATTCCAGGAACTCGGATATAAAAAGAAGTCACCTTTGTGGAGTGACTGCAGTTGATTCACCAAATGGAGCTTGGCAACAATCTTGAGATAAAGCTGTCCTGCAAGACCTAAGTGAGCCAAACAGGAGAGGAGAGGATTCTCCAGTATGTCTCCAGATTTGTAGGGTTGAAGAGGTTGGGGGAGGAACATGGGCCAGTCCTGGAGTCTGGGAAAGGCTCCGATGAGTGCTTTGCGTCGCAGGCAGAGATGGAGCCAGGGACGTCTGACAGTTATTGGCTGCCTTCGGAGTCGGACATCAGTGAGGCAGAAGAACAGCTTGAATCTGTTCCCAGTGTGCGCATGCCCAGAGCTGCCAGAAGAAGGGAGCAGCTAAGGAACAAGGGTCGACTTGGGAGTAAAGCCACAGGTGGACGGTGAATGGCCCCTCCCATAGAGCATAAAAGAGGAGCGAAAGGGGGGTGGGTTTTGCAGGAGACAGTTCATTTGGGTGAAGATCTGTTCCTGCATTCTTGCCAAGTATTGTTTGCTACAGTGTGGCAACTGAAAGATATTGGCCTGGCAACTCTCCAAGCCTGATAAAGGTCTGTAATTGTGAAATATCTTGAAAGACTGGGGCTTTGCTGGAGAGGCATTCACTGTAAACTAAATAAAAGGGGTTTATCAGGACGAGGAGTCGGCTTCGCGCTGCTGGAGAAGCCTAGGTTAGAGCACCTATGTATGATGCATCCAGCCACTGGTTTTGACACCTCTGATTACAGCCAACATAGGCAATGAATGCAATAGGCTCCGAAAGTTAAAATGCTATGGAAATACTTCATCAGAAGACATGGAGGGACATGGACTTTTTGTATAGTGCAGCTATGCTGGGATCAAGAGCCCCTCAAAATACAAGGGCTTATATTCCTGATTTGCTGCCCTCCAAATGCTTGGTCTCTTGGAACGGCCATTCCTTAATCTTAGAAGCTATTTTAAAATTTGAAATGAATCATATTCATAGATGATTCAAAAGTGATCTTCTCATGTGAGTGCCAGGGAGGATGTTAATTTTCATATAGGACTCAAACAGATTGGAAATGATATTCACAAACTTCTGCTATTTTGTCATCATTTTGTAATCTGCTACTATTGCTTATCATTTCTAGGGCAACTGTTTTATTTATTTTGTTTCTTATTATTGTCTGCAACTAATGGAATCCCAAACACTGGGGTTTTCATATAAATGTTAACATTTGTGTTTCTACATACATGCCTAAATGTATGTTTTATATTTCTCTGTGTTGGAAGAAACGTCCATCTGGGTTCAATTCCAAGTGGGGAGAAAGACACTGGAAACTCTCTTTGAACTTCCTGTTCCTGTGGCAAGGGCAGGTATCCTATTGGCTGCTGTCAGACTCCCATGGGGCTATGCAGTGATAGTTGAGGTTGTCTGTGTCCCAGGCTTGCTTGAATCTTGCTGGGTGATGCAATGAAGGGCAATTTCCTATTGTTGATGAATGGCCTGCCCTGAAGGATAATCCCATCATCCTGGAGCTGAGGTCTTTTGTTTTGTAGATAGACTGGCCCAGTCTTTTGGCTTGTAGATAAGCTGGCACTAAAATATCTGCTGAGGGCAGGGAGCTGGGAATCTTTTGTTTCTGTTTCCTTTAAGATTTTTACTTCTCTTTTAGGGAAATATTCTGCCTTTTTAAATATTTCCTAGAATATTTCATTCTTCTAGGAGAGGGGTAGGTGCTAACGTTCTACATGTGAATGAACAATGGATGCTTCCATGTCCCCTGACTAATGACCTTGGTTGCTAAGGAGTGAGTTGGACTTTTGCACTGTGGTGTAAAGTAAGGAGGAACTTTTCACTTGGGTTCAAGCATCACCCTTGGCAAAAGCAGGCAATTGCAGTATCTCAGGCTTTTGCAAATCAAGTCCTGTCTCACAATGCTCAGCTTGCTCAGATCTCCAAGACCAGCTAAGTTCACTCTATCAACCATCTAAGAAGTAGGCAGAAATCAGGGGCTGGGTATGCCACGACAATCTGCTTTCCTTCCTGCATCCTAACCACTGATCTATGATGTTAATGATGTTATAAACTTCTTCTTCTTCACTTCCCCTTTTACCACTTTGGGTGTCCAGGGAGGTACAAAGTTGTATTTCTTTCTCTTCTGGCGGTCTGGACCACTGTTCATTGATGTTGTTGTAGTCGTGTGTCTTTGATGCCGCCTCTTTGTTATACTTTAGCAATTAACAACAAAAAAAACCCACGAGAAAACTCTTTCCATCTTGCATTCTGAACTCCAAACTTTCTGGTAATTGCCCGCGATGGTTTTCTCGCACGCAGGAATGCGCCACCATAATAACTTCAGCTCCTACAAAAGTAACTTGATTCCCTTGGCCTCGAATAGAAGACTTTTGAGTCAATGTGGCTCACGTATTCGATTGCCAGCTAGTAGGGCAGTTGTCTATCCCCGTTAAGTGAGGAGGAAATGGGAAATTTACAATCGATCTTTCCGTCAAATGACCGTCCCTCCTTTTATAGTGCCCATCATGGGCAATCCTCACAGCACCCGCAAAAATGCCTTTGGTTTCATTCCATCGTTGTGTTTTTTTAAACCCTCCGCTTCGGCTACCAAGTCTCCCCAACCGCCCCCTTCAGGGGGCGCAATCTGAGGCGTGGGTTAAAGAACGCGGGCGGAGAACGGAGGGAGGAGTCCCGTCTGGCACCAGGGAATCGGGCGACAGCGTGGGCGGAGAGGCTCGCAGCAAGGTGGAGCCGCCGCCCGAGACGATAAACGGAGCTCTTCGCGCAGTAGCACGACGCGCAGCCACCGGCACCCGACAGAACCGAGCGGGCGAGCCGGCATCGTTTTCGCGTGGCGCGGCGGCGGCGACGGCGGCAGCAGCAGCAGCAGCAACAAAGCGAGAGCGGGCCGGGAGCGCGGGCAGCATGAAAGGGCCGTCGGTCGGGCCGGCGTCGGAGGTGATCCGCGAGGGCGAGCTGGAGAAGCGCAGCGACAGCCTCTTCCAGCTGTGGAAGAAGAAGCAGGTGGTGCTGAGCAAGGAGAGCCTGAGCCTCTTCTCGCCCGAGGGCGGCGGCAAGGCCCGCGCCAAGGAGCTGCGCTTCGGCTCCATCCAGAAGGTGGACTGCGTGGAGCGCACCGGCAAGTACGTCTACTTCACCATCGTCACCACGGACCGCAAGGAGATCGACTTTCGGTGCCCGGGCGAGAGCTGCTGGAACGCCTCCATCACCATGGCGCTCATCGACTTCCAGAACAAGCGCGCCATCCAGGACTTCAAGAGCCGGCAGGAGGCCGTCGAGCAGGCGGCGGCGGGCAGTCGGGACCGGCGTTTGGCTCGGGCGCCCTGAGCCCCGCGCCCGGCCAGTCCCGCGCGGACCAGCCTAGCCGAGGTGAGAGGACGTAGATGATTCCCAAGGGCTGCGGACGAGCGTCCGGAAGAGATTCAAGAGGTTGGCGGCGTGATGATTGACGCCTCTTCAATTATGATTCCTCTTTAGTTATGCACACACATACCCGCCACCGCTCCTTTATTCTCTTGCCAGCTGTCGGCTTTTCTTGGAGTCAAGAAGATTGAGTGTTCCGGTTCCTTAAGTGGGCAGTGAAGCTAAATGAAAGGCGCCTTTGCAAAAGGGGCTTCTCGTAGCTTGGCTTCTTGCCTAGACGGAATAGACACTGTTATGAAAGTGAGCTGCAAGTCTAATGTGTTTGCTAATGAATTGGGCTATTCTCTGTATAGAGAGTAGTGCAACATGCTAGGTAAACCATGGTTCACAAATCGGCTGTTTTTTGTTTTTGTTTTACATAGGGAACTAAGCCAGCTAAATCATTATGGGAGTACTGGTGCGGTTCACACATCAAACTGAGATACACTGTATTTATCTGTGAGCAAGATGACTCTGAATTTTAGATTGCTATCCTTCAAAGAGGAAACTAAGAAAAAACATCATTTGCCTTTTCTGCAAATGTAAGATGATGAAGCCATTTAGCTAATTATGAGAGGGAAGGGAGAGATAGAATTTCAGGTCGATTTAATTCATGTTTGATTTTGCATCTCCTTTGACATTTGTAAACCATGGTTTAGTATGATGGGCAAACTTAGATTGAGAATCCCAAACTGCAGAATCACACAGATGGTTTTGTTTTTTTCATAGTGAACGTGGGAGTTCTTGCTGTTTTTTTAAATAATGATCTTGCAGTGCAGCCTTGTAGCCCATTACTATAATCTGTGTCTTCTTCCCTTTTGAAACTAGTATTTTTACCACGTGCAACTCATGTTCTGACAAACATGGAAATGTGCAAATATAGTGTTATATATATACATGCACTTTCCATCATAGCGAGGGCTCTTCATTGCTTTAGATTTAAAGACAAAATAAAATGATGCTTTGAAATACATATTAGCAACTTTCTAAACCAAATACATCTTTTCCCAGGTTTGCACTGCTCCTACCAAGCCTGCATGGTTGTAGGGAAATATGCTGCTGCTTTAAAAGTTGTTATTGGGTGCACAGTTTGTTTGTTTTTTTAAAAAAAATACATTTAAAGATCACCTAGAGAGGAAATGCTTTGCTAATACAAGGGAAACAGGATAGAAAGCAGCCATTGAACTAGTACTGATTTCTTCACAAAATGTGTTCACTTTCTTTTCTCTCCTTGAGTAACTTGAGCTATGGGTGACACATACAGCACCTAGTTCTAGAAATGCATATTTAACTGCAGGATGAAGTCACCAATGCTGCAACTAATGTCTTTGATAGGAGGCAGTGATCTGTAGAAGTAGCCAGAAATGCAAAGATATATACCAGCCTTAACAACAGATCATACCCAACTTAACCAATCAATCATGTTAGTGGGGGATTCATTGTAACTGTAACCACTAAGGAAGAATGAGCTAGTATTATTGTTCTTGTAATAGGGGATAAAGGATAATTTTAAAAATTCCATTAATGCTATTTATATACTCCTGGCTTAGCATTTTTCTTGGTTTTATTAAAACACAATTCAATTCAAATGGATGCACAAAGGCAGAAGGAGATCTCGCAACTGCTAACATTTAAGCAATGTTATACACTGAACAAAAATTCTTAGGGGATACAAATGTCAAGTGATAAGGTTTCATAGAGAACATAACACTTATTTCTAAAATACATTTATTCAGTTCTAAGATGCTTATTAAAGACTAATGGAACATTGTGAAATGTCTTAGCAATCATCCTTAGGGTTGAAAGTTCTTCTGGAGATCCCTGTAGGATATGCCTTGATCCTTTATTGCCGAAAGCTTGTTGTGTCTCTGTGGTTTGCCCTGTCATTTGAGAAGCCCTTGGAAGTTCAGATGCTTTGCAGCAGGTGTGTCACAGTTTCATCAATTTCAAGTACCATAGTGCCTTCTCCAGTCAGATGCCTTCCAGATGTCCTAAGGCCATAATCCACCTCTCCCAATTCCCAGCATTGGTTTTCATGCATTGGTCAATTTGAGTGCCAACACAAATAGAACACACCAGGTGTACAGGACAAAAGTACTCTCAAAGTACTTTGCTAATGGGAAGTCTCAGTAAAGAATCTCTAAGGTGCAGGCCAAATTTGACCAGTAAAAGTAATCAGTCAGAACCTTACAGACCCAAACTTAAATACGTTTCCACCACTTCATGATGTTGAGACAGTAGTTGTTACTGTGTAAGTGAGACAAACATTTACCATTTGTGCTAAGTCACTTGGTTTCTGATCTGAAAAGTAACTGCTGCTTTACTGATACTATTTTTAGAGCTCATCTCATTTAAACACTAAATAAATTTAGGAGGAAGTCTCGTATACAACCTGTTTGGAAGCTAAGGAAATACAGTAGTGGGTGATCTATGTATTGCATTCTGGTAGGGGAAAAAATGATTTGTTTATTCTGTTGAGAAATATTTTTATTCCATTGATTTTCTCCCCTTTTCTCCTGTTCTAGAGCATGACCATGGAACACAAACAAGATTTAATAACTTGGATTGTGATTGGATTGTGCTGGTGCAGGAAATTAATGAAGAAAAGCAAAGAAGGAGGATGGAAGTTGCTAGGTTTCTTCAGATCGAATGAAGCTGCTGAATTGAATAGTTGAACTTTCACCAAAAAGCACTTGCAAACCAAAGACCCTTTGAAAAACCAAAGCCTGGTTAACCAAGCAAGAGATCCAGCTTGCGAATTGCTATTTTCTTTTCTATTTATAAGATAGACAATTCTGCACCATTTGGTGGGGAAAATACTTTTAAATTATTTGTAATAACAATTTTATATTTTTGATTAATGTTTTTAACAATGCTTTTGTGTTCACATGTCCATTCCAGGTAAACTATGTTCATTTTATCTTCATTTCCCAAACAAGTTTCATGGACAGAAATTTTTGTAATGCTCAAGAGTATTCTGATTTTGGAGTAGTCTGATAAATGCAGTACTTTACAGGCATCTGATCTCTGAGTAATATTATCATGTCTGGCTGAAATTCTTTTCAAATAGCAGCACAAAAATAATGTAATTGTGAACAACTAATTTTGGCTCCTTAATGGCTAAATAAAATGTCACCTGAGTTCAAGGTATAGTAGAGGGACTAAGAAGCCTTTAATCCAGGGGTGGGCAAACTACGGCCCGAGGGCCACATCCGGCCCGTTGGTCTTTTTAATCCGGCCCGCCGAAGATTGGTACAGAATTAAGGTTTGATGTGAATGATTGAATGATTGCATTCATTTGATTTTGACTTGTAAAGACAGGCATTTCGACACCAGGTAGCAGCCCATCTGTCAAATTTTAAAAGTCAATGAGGCCCCCGAGCCAAAAAGTTTGCCCACCCCTGCTTTAATCTATAGACTAAATCTGCAGCCTTCCCCACCCTCTTCTGAACTCCCCCCCCCATGTTAAAAAGGGGCTGGTAGGAAGACAAGATGATGTTCAATACCTAATTCACTTAGTTTGGAACCAGGGAGGAATTCTAACAAATTTAAAATATCCCATACTCATCTCTTGTTTTTTTAGCCACTTTTATGAAGTGTGGAAAATTATTTTACTTATAGAAACAGCCATTTCTCTGCTTGCATAAGGTTCTTGAGATTAAAATTCACGTACTGCCTATTGGAGAGAAATTAAGACTTATTATTTTCAGGGGAACCTATTTCCAACTAGATGACCCCTTTTCTGGGCCATATAATTCTATGGGTATTAGCTTCTTATGAAAGTGTCCTCAAACCCCCACAATGTTGGCATATTATGTGACGCACATTGTTTTTTAAAAAATAATAATTTGGAACAGCAGTGAAAGCTTTCCCATTGTCATGCACTAATTCGCTTGGAGAAGACTGAATTAAAATTATCTCTAATTAGCAGCACCCGGTCAGCATATTGTTGTGCAGTGTAATTTCCTCAATGCATCACTCAGGCTTTTGAGATACCACTAGAAGGGTGTCTGGCTAGCATCAGCAATCCTGATGAATTATGTGGTGCACAATTAAACAAGAGTCCAAGGAAACCTCCAGGCCAGCCTTTCTCCCCACTCACCCCACAGAGAAAGGGGCTCAGGTTTCTTTGATCAAAGTCTATTTGAGAGGAAGCTTTGATAAGTTCCAGATGCCATCACAATTGCCTTTCTCTCCTGTCTCTGTTTTGGAACTGCAGACCTAAGTCCCTGGTCCATCATTCCATAGCTTCACTAGCTTAACATTTTGACTATTTCACAGAAATAATGTCTTCATCAGAATGTTCCTGGGGAAGGAGGCGAGAAGGATGATAACTTAGTATTTTTCCATGTGTGTTATTTTTAAAAGCTCCAGAATACAGAATGTTTTAATGAATCAGAAGAGATTTACTTGATGAAAACGTTAAACAGATTACAAATGATTCCCATAAGTAGAAACTGGGCATTAAGATAATTGGATGTCAGGTCAGTTTTACCTGTCTGTTCAAGGTAAAGGTAAAATCATGATGACTGCACCAAGGTATCTGTCTTTCTTGGCAACATTATGGATCTATTTGCCTTTGCTGTTTGCCAGGAAGTCTTTCTAGTCCAGCATTAGCTTTCAAGATTATTTAGTCAAATACTGTACTGCTACTTCCTGAATTGCTAATCTGTTAGAGTACTGGGTATGAGTACTATTAATGTGTTTCATTTTTTTTGGTAAATTACTTCAGGAGCTTAAAGCAGTGCACATAGCCCTCCCTCTTCCACTTTTCCCCATAACTATACCAAGATAGGTTAGACCAAGAGAGAATGATTGGGCTCAAAATCACCCAGTGGCCTTCCATGGATAACAGTGGACTAGAACCTGTTCCAACATCTTAACTGCACATCACACTGGCCTCCTTTGGTTCAACTATGGTAACTTTCTATTCCCATAAAGTCAATTGTTGAGCATCAGCATAGCCCAGCCAAACCTAATCTAGGATACCTAGCAGTTTTAATTATAGCTATTAACGATCTGCTTGGAAGTTGGGTTGGGTTGTCTGTCTCAAGGCTTCTTCCAAAAACAATTAGTGGTACAGTAGAACCCAGGACAGCCAATGTTGGGCAATGTGCAGCTCTTGTGATACTGAATCCTGATTTAGGGAACAAGGAGAATTTTAATCCAGCATATTTGGAGGAGTAGAAGATGCTCACCCTTGGAAAGACAAAAAGAAAAAAGAAAAACAATTGCATCAGCTTAATTGAATCCAACCTCATTCTGCCATGGTTAGACCTAAAGCATCACTTGGATGAAGCTGTGAACACCTGGGAATCAAAACACAACAGCACGGGGCTTTCTGCAAAGTTGCTTCCTTATTTAGCATCGTACAATTACAGGTTCAAGCAATGACTGTCTTTCTGTGGTTGTTTACTATTAACACAGGTTTAAAATACTCCGTCTTTCGGTTATCAGCGTACTGTACAGATGATAAAAAGAGGAAAACTACAGCGTAAGCGCACAAAAATCAAATGACTAAAATACCTGGGTGAGATTTGAATGAATAAAACTTGCTATGCTGCCATTACTGGGGTGGGGGGATTTTTCCATAGCTGGAGGCTCACAGCTGAGATGGCTATGACACTAAAATTATCAAGAGGGGTACTGCTTTTGAGTATGGGGGGAAAGGCCTTTGCAACCTTTGGGCCCCATACCATTTAGGACTTTAAAACCTAACCCTAATTGCACATGATAACTGCTGCAACACTATTACATGTACAAAAATGAACCATCCACAATGGAGGAATGGTTGGTAAAGATGGTACAATTAACATATGCCGAATTAATTTGTTTCATTAGGGAAAGAACGATAAGCACATTTATTAGTGATTGGGAACCTCTTATGGACTTTTTACTGAAGAAAGAAAAAATGAACTTGTAATTAGAGAAGGTACACTATGGAAAGAAGGAAATTATAATGTAACATCATGGGTGGGATCCGACAGGGTTAACTACTGGTGGCGCGCCTGTAAATCGTCATCAGCATGCTGCGTGCAGAGAAGCAGCCTTTCAAAAAGCCCCTTTTTCCTGCTTTTTAAACTGCGGCTGTGCCTCGCATGGCAGCTGAAGTTGAAAAAATCAGGAAATAAAGGTTAGGTAAGAGCCCAGGTGGGCGGGTGGGCAAAAACATCAGCAGACATAGAACCGGTTCTATGTCTGCTGCTATTCAGAGCTACCGGTTCTACAGAGGTGGACAAAACCAGTAGAAACCCACCCAGGCATGATATTCCCCTCTGAAAAAAAAATTGGGGCCGGCCAAAAGAGACCCCCCACCACCGCACGCCAAGAAATCGCTGCCCAGCTCCCTTTCGCACCGCCTGCCGCTCGCACCGCCCCCCGCCGCTCGCACCGCCCGCCCGCCCCTCGCACTGCCTGCCCGGCCTCCGCTCGCACCGCGTTGCCTCGGGAAGGGAAAGGCAAAACCAGGAGCCGCTGCTGCCGTTGCAAAGCGCCGCCGCGGCTCTTCCTTTTTGCCTTTCCCTTCCTGAGGCAACACGGGACTGGAGCCACGCAGAGCCGCGCCGGCGGTAGCAACTCCTGACTCGGGGCCTCCGAGGGGAGGGGAAGGAGGAGAAGAAGAGGGGGAAAGGGGGGGCGATTCCCAAAAAAATCGGAATTCCGATTTTAATCGGAAGAATATCATGTCTGCCACCCCTGTACATTAAAGGGTAAAATGTAAATTCATTTATAACTACTTAATATTAAAGGGCAGTTTTTTATAATCCTTTTTATCTGTTCACTTTTTTCTTTATTTCTTCTCTAAAATTAGTATTGTTTTTATCTTGTTAAAATTTTATTAAAAATTACATCCACACAATTGCACACACTAGGACGTTGGTGTAGTCAGTCTTGATTATAACATGTATAGATAAGGAAAAATTTCAATAAATAAATCCTTGGTAAAGAAAAGACTTTGGATCAGACATAATGAGGTCTTTCAGGAACCAGTACAGCTGAAAGAAACAGGTATACCCTTCTCCGTTATTAAAAGGGAATGCAAGCAACGTTGCACAGTAGTATGGTAGATATCGGATCTCCTTAGATAGCTGTAACTCCTGCATTACAGAATGTTCAGTGATGTTCTTGCATGGCAGCGAAATATCACTGGGCCAATCACATAAAGACTTCATTGTGTGCGTCTCTTCAATTTCTTTTTATATTTTTCAATACATTTGGAATCTATTCAGCTTTTAATTCCACATTGTCTTCTTGCAGCCTGGCCCTAAATTCTGCTTAGGGTAAGAAACCAAGTCCAGGTAAGTTCAAAATATTTATTAAGCCAACATAAATTGGGGACTTTGTTTTTTCTTTGCACCCAAGGGCTACAAAATTCCTAAATGTCACAATGGAGATTTGGCCGAGACTATAGTATTGGATGCCAATCTGATTGTGAAAACTTTGAATCATATCAGATAGATTCATGCCACCAGCAGGTTTTTTTCTTTTAAGTCTTTCATTTCCCCCAAACTAATGTCAGTGTGTTATATGCTGCCCATTAATAAAGGAGAAAATAGGAAAAGAAAATCCTGAAGAGGTGGGGGAGGGGAGGTTTAAAAACGGACCAGGGTCAGTAAAAATACTGTTCTATACTAGTAATAGTAGCATAGTAGTTATGGTAATAGTACGCTGCTAGTAGAAATAATAAAGCATAGAAGTAGAAGTACAAGTGAACATTGTGCAACACCAACAGTAAGAGAAGTAGGATATAGTATAGATCAGGGGTGTCAAACTCACGTCATCACGGCAGCATCACGTGATGTATTGTGACTTTCCCCCCACCTCGGCTAAACTGGGCATGACCAGTGCTTGACGCATCTGGACCACGGGCCACGAGTTTCGCAGTCCTGGTGTAGATGTTAGAGAATGAATCAATACACATATCTGTATATTTCACTTTTGTATCTTAGATATACAGTATTTTCTGAAATAAACTATCTCCCTTATAGAAAATCTAAGTCTAGGGTTCAATGCTTTTGTGGATCTTTTGAGTTTGAACTGGGTATAACTAAAAAAGAACTTGTGACACAGATGTTATCGGGTAATACTAACGGGATCGGATCATCATAGGATATTAGCTGTTCCAAGTAAAGCTGTCCTTTGCAATTGAC